CAATTCATATTTCCATTATTACGAAGATGATGTAATGACAAATTGAATAGTGAAATTTTCTTAAATAGATTGATAATATCAATGGTTAAGATCATGAGTCAATTTAAGCTAGACCACCATGGAAAATATAAATTAGTTTAAATCTATTTATCTACTGTCCTGGATTCGAATCCCACGAGGCAGGGTCGTGGATACGCACTGCTGAGTAGTCCCACAATAGGACGAAACGGCCGTCTAGTATTTATAATATTTAGGAGTTGATTAAATCCCGATAATCACTGAAAAACTGGAAGCGTTGGATGACCGTTTTTTCCTCAGAAGTATGCACCGATAATCTCACACAAGGTTCTCGAACTCACTGAACACTTAACCTTTAGATCGCTAAGACGGCATCTCCACTGTAATAATAATAATCATCATGTGCTCAATAGAGACTGGCTTCAAGATGGTTTTCTTGGAGTCTAATGAAAAACCGTGATCAGGCAATGGCTATAGATGTGTGGCCATGTGAGAGCATTTGGAGAGGGAGATCGGACTCTTCCCACCCTTGATCATACCAGGGCATTCCAGGCATTATGGTTTAGTTATACTGAATTCTTTTTGCTTCAAAATATTTGTTGTTACTGTTATTCAGTAGACAACTTATATAACCGCTTTTTTTGATGAATCGTAGTCGCTTGATTGTTCTAACCGCTACCTTAAGGTTCTCTGACTACAGTGGATAGAAATAGAGATCTGGGAAGTTTCAGTATACTAAATACGTAAACGCTTTATCGGTGAAGATGAATTATGATTACGAAACAATCAGCAGACGTAATATTCACATACCCTTAGATTTCATTTCATTAAATTGAATATAAGCTACTCAAAAACCATTATAGTAACATATTATGTTTAAGGCAAATTTAATCGCATCCTATCAAAGTTGAAATCGGATAGTATTTTGAAAATGGTTATAAGCCATAATCTTAACATGAAGGCTAATGCTAAATAATTACCCAAATCGAAGCAGCTTATTCGGGGTTCGAGCCTCGAACCAGAAGCTGAGAGTCTTTACAATTATGTCACCATTCCTATTTGAGTTCGTCGGTAACACCGATAAGTATTATTCAGAAAAAATTACAATCGACTACTTCTCACGTTTTTGATTTTACGAAAAATTTATTTCGAAAGAATAGTAAATCATTATGAGTAGATGACACCTATCAGATACGTTAAGTAAACAGCAATCTATACATATGATAACATAAATTGAAATCACATCTAGAGATTAAGCGCTCGTGCGCGAGACCGGAGGCCCTGGGTTCGAATCCCACAGGCGGGATTGTGACCTCGTATTTGGATTATTTCATATTGTGGAAAATAATAATTGCAATCACAGTCAGTCAGCAACAATATAGGACCAGGCACATATATACATTGGTTCAACTTCTATCTGAAGTTTGTGCTGATGATGTCATTTAGAAGGACGATGAATGTCCCACGACCAAACCATCCATCTCAGAGAACACAACTCCATCAACATTGGTCCAAGTGATCACATCTCATTAGCACAACAGGATGAACACTAAATTCATAGTAGTTACTTCAATGGTAATGTAGTGAACAAAAGTACAAGTTGGAACAATTGAATGTATTTGAATATACAAGTTATAGAACATCTTAGTAAAATCTGAGAACCAGTCATTTGCAAGATGTCAACTTATCGTCTTAGACTTCATTGTTTTTTTTGCTTCCACAGCGATTATTCACTTTTCTTAGATCTTCTTAACCTTCTACAACGAGGAATTTCACTGTCGATTGATGAGACATACTACTTATATCTGTCGATATCAGTAGCACACACACCACAGTAGTAATATATAAAAGAAAGATTCCATATAAAGGTATAATACAAGAAGAAAGGATTAGTTCGTTGGAAGAACTATATAAAGTAATTTTAATCTCATAGTTGTTTAAGAGAAGACAAAGACCATATACATCTACGCGATTGTGAGCTGTCACTCAGGGTCAAGGTTTGCTCGGAAGGCATTTTCGTCACAGTTAGCGTAAGACTTTAAATCATGGGGCACCAGGACTCCTAAATCTTTTTCTACTTGGGATACTATTAAAGAGGAGTTCCCCAAGCTATAACTGTAGTCTGCGACATGTTGCAGATGGACTACTTTACATTCTGAAGTGTTAAAAGTAAGTCCATTATTATCTGCCCAACTTTGGAGTCGAGTCAGATCCTCCTGAAGTGCCTATATATCGTCTTGAAAAAGTGCTTCAAGTGTTCTATAAGATCTTAGGCTGCTCTATTGAAGATAGTTTTGAATATAAAGAGTTTGGATTTTCACGTTTATTTGTCCGTAGCTGTTGAAACTAAACCACTTGTTCATCCAATCACAGGGATGGGTAGGATGAGTCCAAATGGTAATTACTTGATGTCTTGGTTAGTAGATAAATGCCAACATAACACTGAAACTTGATGAAAATCATAATGATATCTAGTCCATTCCCGTATGTGAGGAATAGAGCCCAGGACTTACATTATCGCCTGAGAATGCTCAACTTCTATACCATTGAGCTGGTATTTAACAGTGTTAATGTTTAAGCTTAATCAATGCACATTGCGCAAACATCATCTATTGTCTTTGATGAGTAATTGCCATCCACCCAACACAGATGAGCTTAATTGGTTGCGGCCTCTCACCAGAAATTTCTTCATTAATAATTTTCAGGATGAGCTTGTGGAGTTTCATTGAAATTATGAGTCGTTTCAGGTTTTCAACGTTGGTCTAACTTCTCATATTTAAGTTAATCCTAATAAGATCGAAGCAAATAAGGAGATTTCATGGAAAACAGACCTCTACACATTCCTTACATAATGCATGACTATACCCTATAACAAATACTAAATGGATAATCTATGCCCAATATAATCATTAGTTGATTGTAATGACCAAATCTAGCTGCATTGCTTGGAATACTTCTTTTCAGATCCTATCATGGTGGGTAGGTTTGCTGAGAAGCGATGAGACTAATATAAGTAACTGAAGATCTCAAGTTGTTTTAACTATACTGTAACATGATGGTAGTAAAGTGTTTCTCTTAGGAACGGTCGGGTCTAGAAATAACACAAATCAACTTGCTCAATGAATCCCCGTCATTGATGGTATGGCCTAATGATAACATATCAAAAACTCATAGAACGGGAATGTATGACTGATCTTAAGCTTAGGAGTCACGCAAACACTAATAGCGTTCAAATACACTTTGTTTACGATTAAATGATTTATTAAATCCCTAGTATTTATTTCATCTCTTCTACTAAGAATAATCCTCCCTGGCTTCATCTGACGATGAATTTAAAAATCATTTTGTACTTTTTTATTCAGCTTTTCCTAGACCACATTGTTTAGTCTGCTTTGTTTACTATCACTGACGATACTACAATTGATATTCATTACACTGTACTAATTCACGTACGTTTACATCAAATTCTACATTGTATGGAACAATGTAGAACATAGTGTTGCCACATCCAGTGGGAACACTATGTTAGTAATGTAGAGGTTCGGCATCTTATGTTCGGGCACAGAGATGATAATGCAATCGGTGTCACCATCTTGAAACACCGACTTCGGTGGCTTGGACATGTTCTACGAATGTCGTCCCAGAGAATTCCACGTTGTGCATTATTTGCCGACTCTGGGACTGGTTGGAGAAAGCGGAGAGGTGGTCAGTGCATGACATGGTGTCGTGGCATGAAAGAAAGCTGCAAAGGAATGGCTTCTATTGGTCCTTCACGACTCCCTGGTTGGGGTCCGAGAGATGGTGCAACACAGTAGCTAGAGACGTTATCAGATATGGCTCAGAATAGAAGCCAGTGGCGATCCTGCTGTAACTTTCTTTTACTTTCTTCATAGAAAGTGGTTGTGTCTTCCTTAACTGAAAGGGTTCTTTCTGGTTGTACCTTTCCGTTCCCCCATTATTACCACTATTATTAATACACTACCTTACACCAATCTCTTCGTTTTTGTTCTGTTTTTTTGCGCTCCTTACCTTCTTTTTTCTTCTCTTCGAATTCTCATTGTTTTGTGTGGCGCATATATATTTGGTGCTCTATTGTACCAATATTTATGTGTTCAAATAAATAAATAAATTCTACATTAATGACCTTGTTGTATCTGAAGAACAAACTATGGGAACTATTTAGAGACTGTTGCTATGTATATTTATATTCCTTATATTTGAGCTATTGACTACTATTATATGATTTATTTCAAATTATTAGTTACAGTCTCTCACACTCATAACCACTTTTGGCCTGACCTTTATTTTATGGTGGAATTCGGTCTGATCTGCTTGTATATACACTACAATTCATACAATGGAGGCTGAAATTGTTCTCTGAACTAAACAGGCAATGCTAAGAAGGACCAAAAAAGATTCAAAGTTGACGCTAGTTTGCTTGTACTAGTTAATGAGTTATTGCTTTGGCACACGGTCAAAGTCGTATAAGTTGGTGTCCTCCTTGACAGACAAGTCGGTTGAAGAGCAGTAAGACTAAAAGCAGCAAACCCAAGGTTCGAAGGTGAAGTCGTACTGCTGACTGTACAGAGGTGTGTAAGGTGTTTCCCTCAGACAACCAGCATAACAGCGATGCTGCCTTCTCACAAACAGTGGTGAGGTTAGAAAAAGTCAACCGTAAAAGTACATATCTCACCCTATCCCACAGATATCCGTCTCCGACTGTAAGGTCTCAATAAGTACAGACCTAAAACGAAAATTACTTACAAAACGGTCGTGTGTGACCGACTTCAAGCAGTTGTCCGTTGGGCACTGCGGTCACGCTTTCAAGCCACTAAGACCATCTTTAATCCAATTTCCATTTCACGTACATCCAGAAGAACCCTCCCATGTTGTGGGCAACCGGGAAATGAAAACGGTTCTTATACCTCTAACAGCACTCAAGACGATTGTATTCATAATCAACCTCCCTGCTTCTTTGTCAAAAAAGACAAATATGATTTTGTTTATACAGTTAAACCAGGATATTATTTATACACAAAGATATTGATGTAGATAGATTTGGATTGTGCATCTCACATAAACATATTAATAAACACATTAATTGAAAGTTAAAGAATCATATTAACACTGAAATGTACAAATCGGTTAATATTCACAGAGGTTAACGCAAGACCTCCTGAAAAGAAAAGTAAAACAAAAGAAATGTAGAAACAGTAAATATTATTATAGAATATATATATATAGTATAGAATTGTAATAACAAATCAAATTGACTGAGTAATGCTATGACTTGTGCCCCTATTAATATATAGAGTAATGATACCGCCAATTAAAGAACAGTGGACACGGAGGATCCACCTAGTGGCGTTGGAAAATCTTCATTCTAAACAAATGGTGCACACGGGGTTCAGGATTTTGAAGGAACAAATGGCGTATGAACCCACTGTTGATCACCGGCTAACATAGGACTGCATCTCCTGACGTTCCTCCACTACCTTGTGGATTAGACCTTTAAGTTGAAGGCTCAGGGAGTGGCCCCCTAAGAAAACCACCTGCTTCGGTCTCGGCACCCGAGTATCATCACAGCCCACAAACAAATCGAATGATTTATGTGGTGCATATGTATTTGATACCTTCTTGTACCTATGTTTGTGTGTTTAAATAATAATAATAATGTAAAGAGAAAATTGACATTATTCATTTAGATTGAATAAACTACATATAAACATAGACGAGATCTTGTTAATGGCCTTTCTTTTCTGATAGTTACCATACAAATTGAACAGACGACGAAACTATAATTTATGGATGAACCAATCACGTATAAGATATCAGGTCTCAGATTTTGGCGCCAAGTAGGGTTTTGGCATTATAACTGATGTCAATTCGTGATGAAAACCCTAAATCTAATTTGTAACCTTAATCATCAACTGTAAATCATAATTCTAATTCCTCACACATTGGTTTATAACCCTCCTTTGGTTCTGGTTATTAAATGACCATTCTCAATGTCACTTTAACATCGCTCAAAGGTCGTTCATAAATCATAATCTCACCGAAGAGACTTTTTGAAATGAACTGATATCAGTATAGAAATGACTGAAAACCAAGAAGAACTAGGAAAATGTTTCACTTTAATTTAGAGTCACCTTTCAATGGTTTATTACATGGATATGTGAACTTGGATCATAGATCTTAAGATCTCAAAGTATTGAACACCATAATATTTAGATCATAAAATTGAATTCCATTCATAAGTTTATATATTTTTTTAACAACTTAACTAGCTAAATAAGGTTAATATTACATAAATAACTTAGTTACAATTACCTTTTACAAGAAATTAACATGATCAAACAGAAAAACAAGATATTAGAATTCATCATGGCTATATGTTGAACCGGTTGATTTATTTATAGACTCTACTGGATCAATATATACACCTTCTGTAGCTATCCAATTAATTGCATTAGTTAATTTTGGAGTTGAAGAAACTTCATATTGTCCAGATATAGGTCTACTATATTGTTTACCTGAGAGATGAAGATATCTAGAGGGGGAAAAAAAAAAGAAATGAAATGTTGAAAACACAAGCACATCTTTTTTGTCTAGCTTAGTGTTACTTAGTAAAAAACTAAGTAGTCTGTTGAAGATACTAAATCTCCAGAAATCATTTGAGAAACGTCCTATTTTTGCAATTTTATTTTGGAAATTTGAATTTCTCATTTTCATTGCAAAGCGTAAAGATTAGTATGGGGTTGTGGAGATTAATAACAAGTGTTCACTAGTGACTAGCTTTGTGAGGGAATTCTCAGAGTTCTAGTAAGAAGCCTTGAACAGTGGAGCTAATCCATGTCGGATAGAGACATGTATCTATTTACCTCAGTACAATAGAAGATGGTCGCACAATTTCGTGGATTGGTTGAGGTTATACATTAAGACCGTTGGATGCCGACTCAGTAGTCTAGAAGTTAAGCGTTCGTGTGCGAGACTGGAGGTCCTGGGATTGAATCCTGCGAATGGGATTGTGGATGCGCACTGTTGAGGAGTTTCACAATAGGACGAAACGGCCGTTCAGTGCTTCCAGGTTTTTAATGGTGGTCTAACATCAATCTAAGTCAAAAAAGGTTGTGTGTCTGTTTGTTCGTACTTCTGCCTGCTTTTAGAATATACTTTCCCTCGGCTGAATATTGTCTTCTCTCTCTAATTAGCAGGGCTGGGACATATTGGTATGGTTTAACTTGTGTTTTCATTGTGCTGATGATTCTCCGTTTCATTCACTGATTTTAGATGATCTCGTCATCTTTTTAAACATAGTACAGTCATAAACGCCACTCAATGAACTGTACATAAATTTATTGAAGAGAACAGTTACTGTACGAAAGATCATAATGAATTTGTTTTAAGCCAATTGTAAAATTTTGAATGATTTCTTTTACTGTAAAGATTGCGAGATGTGTCATTTGAGGATACGATGCTATAAACAAGGTGTCTTGATGGTTGATAATATTGTTGGGGAGACCCAAAAAATTCCTCGAATAAAAGCACCAAGGGGTCCTGAAAACGCTGGAAAACATTTTATCCAATCAGCATTGAATAGAGGCTTTTCAGAAATATCTAAAGAATGAGGAGTCACTTGCCACATTTTTGATTGGATGATTATCTGTCCAGCTACTATGTTTAGTAGTGTTCCAGAACCTTTCAGAAGCCCAAAGCCATCTGAGATGCCATAAATACCTTCAAGTGAACAACTTTAAAGGAGAATACATATTGCATTTGATTAATAATTTTTCACACAGACATAATATTGCTTCACTAGAACATGAATGCTGAAAGAACACCTCAGATTAATTCTACGGGTCAAGATATCAAGATAGTTTTTAATAAACTTGTATTACTGTAGTAAAAGATGAGGTACAGCTGTAGTTGTATAAATATGTTGTAAATAATTGTGATTCATTGATTAAGCACATATTTATATACCACACACTGTAGATGTCAGGGTTAAAGTTTTTTACTTTACTGTCAAAACCAAAAATACGCGCGGCGGACTTTAAACCTGTTTATATGGAGGGAAGGTGATTGTGTATTATATGAAGTAATCGGAATAGAACTTTAGTGTTTAGTGATAACCAACAATTGGAAAATAAAATGACCACAGTTTATAGTGAGTCATGGCTGGTAAGAGTAGAGGATATTCGAAGGTTACTAGTATTCAATCATAAGTGTCTCCGAAGCATTGCTTGTATATCCTGGGACCACCGAGTAAGTAATGCAGTTGTTAGGAAACGGGTACTAGGCAAGAATGGCAAATCAATTGGTGAGGTAGTGAAAATTCAGTTGTGTTACGTATGCCCAACCACCGACTGCCCCAATCTGCGATGTTGGAAGAAAGCTAGGGGCGGCCAGACCAAAGCATCACACAAATCCATGAAGTCACTGACAAATGGACTGAGTCATGTTGAGAGGTGTAGACTACCTGATTAGGATCTGCGAGACGATAGCAACCGGTGGTTAGAGACCTTGAATGGCATGGCTCAAAATCGTTTGAAATGGCGCAGGTGCATCTACTCTTTGTGTTCTCCCAAATTCTAATCTTCTGAATTCTTCATGTCCTCAATTTTTTCTCTTTCCAAATTTATTGCACTGGATTATACTCCTTGAATAACATCTTCAAACCCTAAAGTTTCCGATTACTGTTTATACTCTTACTACCTATACTACTATGGGATTTGAATCGACAACTGTATCTCTGTGCTCATGTGGTATGGCAACTCGAACTGATGTACATACGTACGAAGTTTTACGCTGTTACTGACTGGGTGAGATTCAATATGTAAAACAACATTAGTTAACGATAACACCAATAAGAAAATATAATTATTATAACGAAAAAATAATTGATGAACAATTATAAGAAGTACTCAAACGAACCCCTCCGTAGAAATATGCTTTAATCGAATGTTTGACGATTGCTTCCAATAGGCACCATCACAAATAACTTGCCAATCATCGCCTTCATACAAAAAAAAACAAATCAGAATATAACTGATACATATTTCCATTTTGGTAATTACAAAAAAACGCAATAGAAACGAATAAAAACGATTACTCCAACACTTAATTTGACTGACTGGAGCATAAGCTGTGACATTCAAATGGATAGACTCAAATTGTTAAATCTTAGTACATTACAGTGATGGGAGTTGGAAGAAACGACATACATATTTTTGTATAACTCAACTGTTTAGTGGTCCACCAGGGTGCTTGGTACCTGTGTGGTTGCGCCACAGGATTGAGCTGTACTATTCAGATTGTAGCGTTAAAGCCTGTACGGTGTCTGGTTCTCCTGCTAAACGGGGTTGAGCTGTACTGTTTGGGTTTTTACGTGAAAGTTCGGATGATGTCTGGTTCTCCTGAAAACCGATGTAAAATTACCCTGGCCCACAAGGGTATATTACATAACTGTCAACTGTTTAGACAGAAGCAAGTAAAGCAAGGTTTAAACTTAGGAATTGATAGCTAAAAATTAACGTTATCTAATCCTTTAAGGATTATTTTATTATTACCTACGACTGGGATATTTTTTAGTTGATGTGGATGATTATCGACATAAAGTGCAGGGAATATTTGAGGTGAACACTATATGCAAATGGCGGTAAACATTTTGCTAAATGTCTCTGAGGTATTTCGAGTTGTTAAGGATGTTTTAGATTAGTCATATGGTTTGATCTGATAATGGTATATATATGATTAATATATGCTAATAATTTTAGTAATGAGATATACATTTGAATACTTCTAATTGCACCAACTATTACTGTGGATGGCTATATGGTGAATGTGACTTGTATTTAATTATAAGTTTTGGACGACAGTATGGGAATATAAAACGAATGTTTTGTTTATCCTATATAAAAGCAAGTACTTAAACAAATGGTAACATGCAGTCTGAATCTATGGTATAAAATGGAGGAGTAGGTGACGTCTGCTATAATCGACAAGTATAAAATGAAATGCAGGCGAGAATACGATAAAGATAAGTCGTAAAGTCATATTGTAGCGAACAGAACACGGGTGGGGACAATCGAATGTATTTGACACAAAATCAAAGGACTTGTTAATAAAATCTAACAATCAAATAGTAAATGCTTAATTTGCAAAATGTCCATCGATTGTCTCAAAATGACTCAGACTTTATTGTTCTTGCATTTTCATACAAATTGCATTCTGTTCGATCCTCTTGTCTCTCCGCTTCCAGATCTTCTGTTTACGACTAACATCATATACTACTTATGTCAACATAAGTAACATACACAATATTACTTTTGATGCAAACTATGTACCTACCTGTACAACACGATTTTTAAGAGCATTTAATTTATATACCAGTTTATTACATGGTTATATTGTGTCTGAAGTTAGATAACATAAGCAATTTGCATCCGTTCAACTATTTGTTCGCAAGTGGTAGAGATATTTAATTAGTTTGAGAAATTATTTAGAGTACATCACAGTGAGATTTTTGAAAAAGCATAGTAAATGACACGATTTTCGTTAGTATGGTGTTTTAGAGATAAACTTACCTTCATCGCCTACTCCATTCTCACCGAATGCAGAGACTTCATAATTAGGCGAAAGAGGAGACTGAAAATGGTGACTATGAAGATATTTTCGAGTTGATAGATGCATGAGTCTGATTTTTTGTCCACATTTTATAACTCTACCTCGATTACACTGAGGGCTACCATTACGTTCAACAACCTAGACATGAATTGAAAACGATTTGCCGTTGAAACATTCAAATCCTTGTAATGGTAGTAAAAACACTTGTGAATTACTGAAATGACAAAATTATTGAGTTATTCTTCTTACACTTTAACATTTGAGGGTAACTAGAGAGATTCGTTTAGTTCATGTTAAGACCTATAGGTAAAGAATACTTAAAACATTTGGGAAAGTAGTACCTGTTTTGACAATCCGCTGATGAGTCCAAAATAGGGCGAAACAAGCGTCCTAGATTCCACTGATAGCTATCATCTCTGCTTATAATGTTCAAAACAATCGCCTAAAAATGTGTTTCTAAACGGAACTTGACTGTTTCGGGCACTTCGTTCACAAAAGACCCAATGTTCCTGAGTGTAGAATTCGGCATGTAATTTACGGAACGATTTGAGCATACTGATGTGAACTAATCCTGTCATGCTAAGTACTTATTAGCTGCTTACATGTATTATGTAATTAGATTTCAAGTAGAATTCAACACGATTAGTAAGAATAAAGTTGTTTATTAGTCTACGCGCACAAGTATCTATATAAAAAAGCCCCCAAATGCCCTGGTATGGCCGAGAGTGGGGAGAGTCCGCTCTCCCTCTCGAAATGCCCTCACATGGCCACGCGTATATAGCCTCTCTCAGGGAAGTCCTACTCACTGCCTTCTCGTGGCGGGGGTGCTGTTTACAAAAATGAGAGGACGAAAAGCGAATGTCCGGCGCTTTAACCGGATTCCAAACCAATGGTGCACATGGGCTCCAGTATCCTGCGGGAACAAATAGCGTATGAACCAATCGTTGGTCGCCAGCTCCCTTGGGACTGCATCTCCTAACGATGCTCCACTGCCTTGTGGGTCAGACCTTCAGGTCGAAGTTCCCGACTGTGGCCTCCTAAGAAAACCACCTACTTCGGTTTGGGCACCCGGGCAGTATCACAGCCCTTACACTTACCAAATGAGATTTGTGTGGCGAATATTTATTTGGTGCCTCCTTGTACCAATATCTATATGTTAAAATAAATAAATAATAAGTATCGAAATTGTGTGCCGAAAGTTGTACGCATTCCGAAAAATAAAAAAACATTGTATAATGTATGACGATTCGACACCATGTTTAAAGAACTATTAAGAATGGATCGAAGTTTTAACGAGATTATAAAGCTTTGAACGACCTGTCGCACATACATATGGATGAATAAGAAAGCCGATTAGTAAAAAATAAAATGTGATAAATTGATCTCAGCAGGTTAAAGTAAAAGCTCAATTCTGGCTTCATTTTTAGAAGACATTGGTTAGAATCATTACTACCGCATTAATGTTAAGTAGATTTTGACTTCCTGAAACACTTCAACCAATCGATAGAGCAGCAAATTACATTATAAAAACTACTGTTTTTATTTTTATGGTAAACAGTCTTCTGCACTACTATAGGATCAATTTTTTTTTATCGCGGATGGCTCATTCCAAGAACATAGAAACAGCACAAAACTACAGGGAACAAGTGATCATATATCATTTGATATTTATGGTAACTTGTTTTCGTTAACGTAATCTGGCACGACAACCCTTCATACTCTTCGCCCAGGTGGTTTGCATTAAAAAGCTATAAACTATTGGACAGAATTGATTAGCAACTCAAAGTATGGCTAGGAACAAGTGTACTACGATTAACCAAACTGTAAATGAATTGCCAACTGTAGCAAAATCATCCGTTCTACTCTTCGCTGATGACATAAAGATTTGGAGACCCATACATAGTATGTCGGATAGAATAGTATTACAGGATGATCTTAGCTCATTGGTGGCATGGTTAGACAGGTGGTCACTAGAAGTAAATCCTAATAAGAGTGTAGTGATGCAGTTAAATAACTCAGATGAATCGTATGACTATACACTACGTGGATTCGTGCTACCCAAAGCAAGAAACTATAAAGACTTAGGAGTCATATTAAGCAATGATCTCAAAACGACTAGTCACTGTAAGGCTGCTGCTGCAAAAGGCTATAGGGTATTATGGTCAATTCGTAGGTCTTTCCAGTATTTAGATGATGAAATGTTTGGATTACTATACCCGATTTATGTGCGACCACATTTAGAATACGGGATTCAAGCAGCGAGTCCTTGTTTCAAATATGAAGCAGATATGCTAGAAAGAGTCCAACGACGAGCTACTAAGATGGTACAAGGTCTAGCTGGCCTATCTTATGAAGACAGACTGAGACACCTTAACTTATTTCCGTTATCTTACCGTAGAGTACGGGGTGATCTAATATTGGCTTATCGTATACTGAACGATGACCTTGGTATTAACATGTCTTATCTTTTGCTTCCGTCTAGAACCGATCATTGATAGGACATTCGAAGAAAGTTCAAAAACCGAGGTCAAACCGTTTACGTCTGGAGTTCCGTTTCTCGCACCGAGTAGTGAATTACTGGAATTCCCTACCAGAACACGTAATATCAGCACCGTCTGTTAATATATTCAAAACGAGATTGGACCTCCACAGTATTACAAACTGCAAGGATTAATATAGGTTGACAGACCTCCTATCCTTATTACTGAAGACTGTATAGTTGACCCAGTGACAATAGTGTGCGGCAGACTCAGGGGTTTATATAAGAAATGCCCTGGTACGGCCGAGAATCAGCTCTCCTCCTCCAAATACTCACAGTTACGTGCGTACAACGACTGTCAGGGAAGTCCTATTCACTGCATTCTCGTGGCATTACTGCTGTTTACGAAATTGAGAGGATGAAAAGCTAATGTCCATGGCTTGGTGGATATGGAGGATTCACTTAGGGGAGGTGGAAAACCCTGATTCCAAACCAATGGTGCACATGGGATTCAGTCACCTGAGCGCACAAATGGCGTAATAATCAACTGTTGGTGACCGGCTACTATGTGATTACATCTCCTGACGTTCCTCCACTGCCTTGTGGATCAGACCTTTGTGTCGAAGGTTCCGGGTGTGGTCCCCTAAGAAAAACATCTGCTTCGGTTTGGGCACCCACTGAGTATTCCAAGACTCAGACAAACTGAATGATTTATATGGCACATATGTATTTGGTGCCTTCTTGTATTAATGTTTACGTGTCTAAATAATTATTTATTTAAATAATTGTAACATGGATGTTATATGTGATGGCAACAAGATGACATATGCACAAAAGTGGCTAGTGAAGATGAACAAACCTGCCAGTAGCTGTTGGTATCCATTTCGTCAGATACAGCGGTAACAGACTGCTGCTTACTCCCGCTACCATACTGAACCTGGTGTGAGTGAAGTCGCGCATTGAAATCAGTATTCAATAGTTTGAGCACTGAGCCGCAAGTTACAGTGTTTTGCTGTGAAACCGATTCTGAACATTTTATTATGTGTAGAAGAATAAGGCTTACTTTTTGGGAATACAATAAACAAGGCAAGCACGAAGACTGGGAACATGACCTAGATTTCAAACTAGCCTGTTTGTCGTGGATTGTTCAAAACAACACCCAGAGGTTTACAACTTAATTTCATCTTTTAGAATAAGAGAAATGAATTGTTTTTCACTACAGGAAATGTCCAATGTCTTCGTGACGAGCTAGTATAAACCACATCAGTATTTTGGAGCTTGCTTCTTAGGTTTAGCAGCCTATGTTTTCCGTTATGTTTGTATATCTATCTGACTACAGTATTTGTAGTTCCACATGATCCGATTTTCAGGCTTCTTTATCGATATATGTGTCTGTCTTTTATCTTTTCAATATAAATGTGTTCGTTTAGACTTTTATGGATGGCTTGAGCGAAGTACCAGATAACAGTTTTTCCAAGGGTTTGTCGGAGTTTATTACTGGTATTATGAACGGTGTGGTTGTAACTTTGTGGTGCTTGAATTAACTAACGATTCTTTTGTACTTGTTGAATGCTCGATTTCGAATTCTAAGTACAATACATTCGTTGGTGCCTGTGTCTTCTTAATTCAATTGCGTTAATCCTGGAATTCCTAGTTCATACGATAATTCTACTACTATATTGGCGTCGCGATGGAGCCTGCAATGGAAAAGTTAGATATTCATTCAACTTCGGAAGCTTTTGAAGATTACTTTGAAAGGTTCGAAATCTGGGCTATGACAAAGGAAGATGATGAGGATGTTAATATTATGGCACACTTCCTCACATTCATTGGAAAAGAAGCATACAGCTTATTAAGAACTCTGGCTATGCCGGAAAAACCCATTTCGCTTTCTCATACAGCTCTCAAGGATCTACTGCTAGACTATGCTCAGTATACAAATTTCGAATGTCGTAAAGGAGGAAGATTTCGTAAAATGATTCATGAGGATATAAAAAAGTCCACTACATTACTACGTCATCGCAACCTAGTGCATACTCAAGGTTATGCAGACAATCCATTGAATTTGGATGCAGTTCACGAGGATGGGGACAAGTTTGGTCAGTGTTTGTCCTGTTGCAAGTTCCACTCTTCTAATTCATGTAAATTTCATAATTCTAAATGCTTCAAATGTCGTGATATTGGACAAGTTCAGTCAGTTTGTAATGCTAATGTTCATCTTACTGCAACTAATATTAAGTCTTGTAATTCTGATTCTACTGAGTCGAGTATTCATGATGATCATTTATCTTTATCAACGATTTCAAAAGACAGTGCAGAGTCATATGGCAGTTCAGAATTCTTGTGAGACAAAAGTCCCTAATCAACCGATTTATCAGAATTCTCATGTTATTGTACCAAGTATGACTTGTCCTAATGATTCACATATTTCTAATGAAATTACTTGCAATTCTGAGGAAAATATGTTAAATGAACCTAATCATGATCGAAAACCTGATGTGGTTTGGATAGATGCTGATTTTTCTAACGATCCTACGCTCTGCAATGACAGTCCTGATGAATTTCATGAGAATATTTCAGAAGAATCAAATCCTGATGTCATATCATATATTACCTATCCTCATAATGTATTTGATCCTTGTGAAAAACCTGCTCAATGCGAAGCACGAGTACTAAGTGACCTCGAGTGTGATTACATTTCGTATGATTTCATGTCAACTGCTGTTTACTCTTATCACAAAAACAGTTCTAATGTTTACTCTAAACAATGTGAGAAATATGTTTTAAATGAAGCCACATTATTCATAACTTGGGGATATAAAGATCCAACATTATTTCGTGGGGGGGGATAGTGTTGAAAAATCTATGGTTCGAATTCTAGATATTAATGATTTCATTACAAAACCGACATGGTGGTTGTATACAATTCCAGGTGAGTCTGTTCCTATTTCGTTTGTTAATTCCAATACTAATGGGCACTATCTAGATACTACAAAGTTTTTATCTTATTCAATGTCGGACAGACTCAGGATGAACTTAACAAGAAGACGTACAACCGATTACAAACACTTATACTTCTATTTAAGCTGTGGCGGATGTGGTGTTTGAATTAACTAATGATTCTTTTGTACTTGTTGAATGCTCGATTTCGAATTCTAAATACAATACATTCGTTGGTGCCTGTGTCTTCTTAATTCGATTGCGTTAATCCTGGAATTCCTAGTTCATACGATAATTCTACTACTATAAACTTGTCCACTAAACCTTGCAAAAGTTATGTTCAGAAATAATGCACTACAGTTTATGGGGGTCTCAGTCGCTAGAAGTCGGAGAGGTGTTATGTTACTGTGAAGATGCCACAGGTATTCAGAGTTTGACAACGCTTTAATCAGTAACACCTTTTTAAATCGTACCCACCAAGTGAAATCAAAGGACGGAAACGAGGAGGTTCGACGATATATTTGATAGGTTATCAGTGTATCGAGAATCGACTGATCTAATCCGGGTAGCGATTGCAGGTGATTTTGAGCACGGCGTTCCCACACGTGATCTGGTGCGGATACATGACCGGGCGCCTTCAGCTAGGTGAGTTCATCAAAACTAATGTGGTCAGCATCCAACGCCAAAGACTTACAGAGCTATTTATTTTGGGAATTTATTCACCACTACAACTGCATTGATTCCATCACTGACGATGACATTTAATTTCCCATACGATGTTCGAACTACCATCGTCACTAAACGGTGGTTATAGTTCCAAATAAGAAGCATACTTCTGGAATCGATTTCAAACTTTAATCTTGTATCGATCATTCAGGGATCAGAGGTAAATGTTCTAAAGTACAGTATATGAAGATCGGGAGATCACTTCGGCAGTATTGGATTGTTTTTATGTGAGCGGATGTGTGTGTATCGATTACCTGATGCGTCACATGTTTTGAGTTTATTTTCGATGTGGTGTAAATATGGAGCCACACACTGTCAAAATGAGTTGTTATATTTGACTTATTCGCTTCAATCGCTCCCCCTCTTCTCATTCTTAGTGTGTGCTGGAGTAAATGAGTGTTTGAGGTAAATTCATCCAACTCGCATTTGGCTCCTGACTACTACCATCGTACATACGGGGTTAGCCTAGATCTAAATAAACTTCGGAGGACTCTGGTGAAGACCACGTTATAAAGTAATTGTTTTTCACTAATATTTCGCAGAATCATTCGATCTATATCCTAAACGGATATTTTTATGAATATGGGTTGGTAATAAAGTATATTGATGATCTTTTAATGTGAAGAGGATCATGAGCAATACGATGCATTAGCACAATATACATATGACTACTTTGTACAACAGTGGTCGCAAATTTAGAGCTTCCAAAGGTAGTGAGTATGTTGTATTTCTTAGCATTGGAATTGTATAGGTCAACCGTCTACAACATATCCCAAGAACACAACTGCTTCTGAAGGTAAGGGGACACAATGCAAGATATTCCTTCCAGATTTGTTCTTGAGTAGACACAGAAAATGTGCAGGTTGATTTGATTTTCTATAGAGAACCCTTTACGTTTCATCAAAAACAAATCAGGTTAGGTGCCTCGATCACTAGCATGTAATCCAGCAATGCCCTATACTGTGATGAAATTTCGTGGATCTTCATTTAAAAAACCTTTCGATAGTGATTACGGTATTTCTGTCAGAAAAAGCCAATGATTATGGTTATCTTACTTTTCACCAGAGAGTTGTGCAGATTATTGAGTTTTAATTGAGACCATGAACCGACCAGTGCTAGATTATCATTGGAAACCTGGAAGCATGGAATTCCGCTTCGTCTTATTGCGGGACTCCTCAGCAATGCACACACACAATCCCGTTCAGCGATTATCATTCAGATTTTCCCGTTTTTTTCCGAGTTGCTATATTTATAATTTTTAAGTCATTTATTTTGATTATTCTAGACTGATAAAGGTACATTTGGATTTGACTCGACTTCAAAGTTGGGTAGACGATAACGAACTTACCTTGAACACTTCAATGTGTAAAGTAGTCCATCTGATACATGTTGCAGACTACAGTTACAACTTAAGAAACTCCTCTCTAGCAGTATCTCGAGTCGAAGAAAGTTTAGGAGAGCTGGTATTCTACGATTTGAAGTCCTACGCTAACTGTGACAAAAATGTGGATCACCAACGTAGATGATCTGTGTCGAAATGATTGGAGGCCTACTCGAGTTAGACGTAAATGGTGTGACAAACTAGCTAATGTCGAAGTCACACCTCGTGGTTAGCACGTTACGTGGACTACCCCATTGACGTATCAAGGTACCACAGATGCTTTGAAGACTGTACAACACAGAGGGCGTTATTACATAAATATATTAGTTAAGGTAGATACAAGCGAAAGTAAGACCACTGCTGCATGGGCCAGTCCATGGCATACGATTAACTGATGCGCGTTGGTTGTCCCTGACCTTGACGACGATCGATGATTTGCTCGATATTCAGTGATCCGACTGACGGATGAGTTAGCTAGGGCTTAGTGACATTTCGATGGCCCTACAAAAATACCTTTTGAGCAAACCTTGCTCTGATAACATTGAAGCGCGTTTTTGGGAAGTTTGACGGAACAACTTTCCACATAATCTTCAAAATTTTTTTCGTCCCCGTTTAGAGTACGGAAACATTGTATTTCCTTCCTCACTCCAAAGGGATAAGGGCACTGTGGAGCGTATCCAACGGCGAGCCACGAAATCAGTTCAGTGACTCGAACTCAAACCTTATGAACAGCACCTCTAATCACTTAAGTTTTAGCCATTAGAGTATAGGCGTCTTAGAGGTGACCTTCTGATTGCTTACAGTATCCTTAACACTTCTGGATATCCCACTAAACACCTAACTAAGCTTAGTCCCAATACAAACCTAAAGGGAAACACTCAGAAATTGGAGATGCAACATAGCGGAATGGACTGTAGACATAACTTCTACTCCTTAAGAGTTGTCGAGTGCTGGAGTTTGTTTTGGACTGAACTAGTCCGAGCAACTTCTCAAGAGTCCTTTAAGAGGAAACTTGACCTATTCTTAAGGACTAAGGATAACATCTTATTAAGACTTACCGATTTCTTTTTTCCTATATTATCGTTAATATACCTAGGTTTCTGCCTGGAGGTATTGGTGATCCACTGCTACTAGACACGGAAGCCCGTTTAGCGAAAGCTCTTTTTATTCTGTCTATAACCATTCGAACCATTTAATATTGAACCTTTGGTCGCTGACCCCCGCGTACTCTGAGATCTTGCACGCAATATTTTTTCCAGTGTCAGGATGCAGATTTTCGTGAAGACACTTACGGGAAAAACTATAACCCTAGAAGTTGAGCCTGCTGATACAATAGAAGCAGTTAAGGCGAAAATTCAAGATAAAGAAGGCATCCCACCAGACCAACAACGTCTAATTTTTGCTGGCAAACAACTGGAAGATGGACGAACTCTTTCCGACTATAATATACAGAAGGAATCAACACTTCATCTTGTCCTCCGTCTTCGTGGTGGTATAATAGAGCCTACCTTGAAGGCATTAGCTCAAAAGTATAACTGTGAAAAGATGATCTGTCGAAAATGTTACGCACGCTTGCATCCGAAGGCCACTAATTGCCGCAAAAGAAAGTGTGGACACACAAGTAATGTAAGGCCCAAAAAGAAACTTCGTTAATCCATAATTGAAGCGAATAAATTTTTCTCGGAGTTTGCTTTCTCATTTCTTAAAGTCAGACTGTCTGTATTGGCTGTTATTGTGGATAAGTGCATTTATGCTGCAATTGTTATAAGTAGTAAGTATTGTTTACCCTCCTGACAGTAAGCTTGAGATAAGCAACCCTATTTAGAAGGTATGGGAGTCAAAACCTCTTAGTTGTATTTAAGATAGGGTGGATGTCGTAATGTCAACTTTAATCCGTTGTGGGCGTTTCATTTCTAGATATTTAGTCCGTGCCTTAGTTGGGGTTTATTGTCTTATGTCTTTGTGGAGGGTTGGTTTGGGATTGTGTTGTTACCATTTACCCGTAGTGTTTTTCAGAAATTACATCGCACACAGCTTTCAGGAACACTGTGCCGGCATGTGCCGCAAGTTACCGTTTGAACTATTTTTCTTGCTTTAATGAATAGTAATATTTGCAAATGTTGTGTTTTCAATTTATATTCAAGTCTGCTCTAAAATTGTTAGTCTATGTGCTCATTTGCGTATATGAGCTTTTGGATCCTTTTCTTTAATGTTCTTAATTGAATTACCATTAGGGTATAGCACATTTCAGTCTATTACTCAATTACTAACAGTGGACGGTTGACCGTAGTGTAGTATAATCTTAGAGGTTGGTATTCCCCCTTCTCATGGATATGTGGTTTTTAATCAAATTAGGTCGTTTTGCTGTGATAATGAATTTCTGTCTGAACCTAAGGCTGGGGCACGATACGTTTGTTATATCTGTCGTTCAGTGGTTTAGTAAGCCTAGTATTATAGATCACAGTCTGTTTAACAAGGTTTTTGACTGTCAACATCTCAAGTAATTTGAGTTGTTTAGTTTAAAGATGACTAGCCAAAAATTCTCGAATCCGATTAAGTACATATTTGACGGACTGGAGATCGCTTCTGAATTCTCATTATTCATCAACTACTTTGGGACCCGTTATTGTTGTTTGCTACTTTGCTGTCTTCCGATATCACATGAATTGTCATACTATATTAGCTACTTATCTTTTTAAGCGTAGCTCGTGTTCGTTGAAAAGTGATACATATCGTCATAAAAGACCTCGAGGCCTTAGTCTCATATCCCTTAGGGTTTCAGTATTTGCTGGTGGCATTATATAATAAGTTTCTTGTCTGAAATTTGAATCACATTCAAAGTCGACCCAATAATACAACCTTCCAAACAACAGAACTCTGCAAAAGATGAGGTGTCCATAATAAATTAAAAAGACTACTGCAATCATATTTAAATTTCATTCTTAGATTACAGTTGTCAGCAACCATCCACCAGGTTTAAAAGAGTCTAGTTTGGCTTTGCCAACTTACGTCACCTATGGCGTAGACGAGATATCCGTCTATCAATAAAAGGACGAGTATACTGCGCGGCAGTTCGTTCCGTTGTACTTTACGGCTGCGAAACATGGCCATTAAGAGTCGAAGATACTTGTAAGCTACTAGTATTTGACCACAGATGCCTTAGAAATATTTCTGGCGTCTGCTGGGATCACCGGGTAAGTAATAGTGAGGTTCGACGCAGGGTATTAGGAAATGGTGGTACATCAGCTGATGTGGTTGTGAATCATCATCGACTGAGATGGTTGGGCTACGTGTTACGTATGCCTAAACACCGATTACCACGACGTGCAACGCTTACCGGTATTGGAGATGGTTGGAAGAAAGTTAGGGGCGGACAAACCAAAACGTAGCATCAGTGCTTGAAGTCACTAACTTCTTGTCTAAGCCATGTTGGAAGATGCAGACTACTTGGTTGGGGTCCACGTGACTATCGTAACGAATGGTTGGAAACTGTGTGTGACATGGTTCAGAGTCGATCACAATGGCGTTGGTGTATACACTCTGTCCTCCCTTAAACTAAGAGATTAAAATCGCTTTATATCTTGCTTTCTACGAACTAATTCTTTCTTACTGTACTATATCCTTATTGTGATCTTTCTTTTATATATTACCGCCTCTGAATTAACTACTTTTATGAATTCGGTGTTCGTCTTATTGTGCTAATGAGGTATGGCAACTTGGACCGATGCACATATGTGCTTGGTCCTACGTTGTAGCTGACTGAGTCATCATACTCATTTGCCATATCGATAGTAATGCGTTTCACAAATGGACATAAATTTTGTTTTTGTCTCTAGCAATTATTGAATTTTATTTGATGGTACGCAACTTATCAGTGTATATGGCAGTTACCCGGTATACTGTGTGTATAACTTAAGCTCCATCTTACCAATTGTAAGCGATCTTGCACAGGGTACTGCTGCTCTAATATTAGATTATACAACATTAGTAATTCATTTGTATGGGAGGGAAAAAGGAATATTGTCAAAGTACTGTTATTAAGATTTGACAATTAATGAAAATTTTATTGAGACAGCTCGTGATGACTTTTGCTCGGGTACAATATAAATTCTAAGTCGTATGTATGACTGCTTAACACCTACGGTGATAGACAATACTACATAATATATATTTCTAGGGGTTAGTAATGGTTTTGGGATCAATAAGTTGTTTGGAAGGGTGTAAATGTGTTTGTATTGAGGTAGAAATTGTGCAACTCACAGTACACTTGTTTATTTAATTTGTTTTAAGCCACACTGTTTTTGTGAGGACTAATGATACTACCTAGCTGGACAGATGAAAGTGGGCATTGCCGTGAAGACGGAATTATCAGTAAGGTAATAAATATTTATATATTCTCGTGTGCCCTGAACTTTAAGCATGTGCTTTAGTTTTAGAGGAAGAATAACTATGATTCATAGAGTGTGAAAAGCTACATGCAATTGAGTGTGGGGTTTCAACAGTAACTTCAATCAGTTTAGTTTTTTATGCTGAACAAACATCTCCAAAGATGACTGGATAAAGTTTACTGAAGCTTTTTAGAATATATTTTAAGCTTAGATGTAGTTCAACGTAAGTTCAACTCCTGAGACTAATATGAGGAGTCTAGACAAACAGTAGCTGCATATTAGAGAAATGGAAGGTATTCATAAGCCATTAAGTTTGCCACTCATGTCTATTATTCAAGCTACCAACCAATGGTGTAAGTTGACAACGATGTTAACCTTAATAGTAGTCAGGATTGTGATATCTATAATCGTTTGATACACTTAAGCTCTAGATGGCCACTTTTGATTTGTCGACTTTTCTCGCTGTCGTTACTACAATTAGTAATCAAGACATGAATGCCTTACCGTGTAAACCAGCGGATTTCACTTAATTTCTGGATTATTATTATGAATGTATAATTATCAGTTGGTTCTGAGTTTAACTTGGAGGACATTTTATAGTGCCAGATAACAAATTGCTTGAGGTTATTGTTTACCTGAGTTAACGTCTTAGGAAGAATATACACATCTGGGCTTCCTTACCAGCTTGTTTTAGTTTATTTGAGTGAAAACAATATACTTAATAGTATTCGTACTGTTTTCAGTGAGGTTGTAGTTTTTTGTAAGACTTACTCTTCATACAGTTTTGAAAATCGTTATTATCCTCCGGTGTATATTTCTAACACGAACTTTGAAGATATTTACTATGTTCTCAAAGAATCACGTAATTGATTGACGTAAATAAACAGTTGGTTTCCTTTAAGCGAAATCAAGTACTAATGTGATTGAATTTTATTACTACAAATTCGCTCTTCACCTGTCGCTTCGAAAAGCTTGTTTTACGTGCGCTTATCCGGGGACCCTGTGGCATCTTCGTCTGGTCTTGCTGGCGTTGGTGTCGCATTAAGCGCTAGAGCTGAGGCAGCACTAATCGATTGGATCCCCATTAACAGTCGGTTATGTGCTGTTAGATTAGAAAGTTCCATCAAAGTGAGAAATCGGCGTGAGAAACGATGTCTTTTCATCATCTCCGCGTATGCCCCGACAGATTGCAGCCCGGATGCAATCAAGGATGAGTTTTACCACCAGTTATCTGTTCTTCTCCAGAAAGTGCGTTCGACAGATATTGTAGTACTAGCCGGAGAGTTGAATGCTCAGGTCGGGCGTCTGGGCACAGAAGAGAGTCGTTTAGGAGGCCGATGGGGACTTGTTGGTTGCAGGACAGATAACGGGGATTGTCTACTGCAACTGTGCACAGACCACAACCTGTTTCTGGCTAGCACTAACTTTCGGCACAGTCATCGCCGATGTGCCACCTGGCGTCCTCCCTCTTCATCCCAAGCCTGGACTCAGATTGATCACATCGCGATCAGCTGCCGCTGGCGTGGTTGTGTACAAGACTGCTGCTCCTTTTGGAGTACCTATCTGGACTCTGACCATGCCTTGGTCTGCGCCAATCTTGCCTTACTTTTCAGTGGACAACGAAGTGACCGCCACCAAAAGATTGATGTTAGCAAGCTGGTTTCAACTTCTGTTGCTAGTAAGTATCAAACCGAGCTAGTTTCTAGGCTAGCTATCATTCCACCGAAAAGTATAGATGAGCATTGGTTGCAATTGCATGACGCCATGAAAATGGCGGGTACAGTCAGTTGTGGGTTCCCGGAACGTCCCGCTTATAAACACTAGGTTACTTCAGGTTTCTTTCAACTCATTGAAGCCTGTCGGTCTACTCTGGGTGACCGTGAGTTTGACCACAAACGAAGAATGTTACGTAAGGAAGTTGGGCAAAGCCTGCGTAAGAACCGAGAAGCCTGGTGGTCGAAGCGTGCTAATGAGCTGGAAGCAGCAGCTGCATCTGGTAACTACCGGAAGCTCTTGCAACTCATCCGAGCCACTGGCAGCAAGAAGTCTGGTGTGAGCGAAACAATCTGCGAGGATGATGGGATGCCAATCACTAACATCCATCGACGTCTTGGACGATGGGCAGAATTTTTCGAAGGGCAGTTCAACTGGCTTGCTGCTCCGGCAACATCGGTCAGACTGTCCTGCCCTCCATGGCCGGTGACGACTGATCCACCAAATGAGGTGGAAGTCCACAAGGAACTCCAACTCTTGAAGCGCTACAAATCACCTGGCCCAGATGACTTACCTCCGGCTCTTTTTAAAGATGGTGGTGACTTTCTGACTAAGGAATTGACGACGTTGTTTACGAAGGTTTGGGAACTAGAGAGTGTACCGACGTCATGAATGAGTCGATAGTTGTCCCTATCTTTAAAAAGGGTTCACGTCGTTCCTGTAACAGCTATCGGGGGATAAGTCTACTTCCGATTGCGTCCAAGCTATTAGCTTCCGTCATACTTCGTAGGTTGTTCAAAACCCGAGAAAGATTGACTCGCGAGGAGCAGGCTGGGTTTCGTTCTGGTCGAGGATGTATTGATCATATCTTTACCCTCCGCCAAATGTTAGAACACCGCCATACTTATCAAAGGCCAACAATCGTAGTGTTTCTTGACATCAGGGCTGCCTTCGATTCGTTGGACAGGACTGTTCTCTGGGATTGTCTATTGAAGAAGGGTGTGTCTGAGAAGTTTA